CCCGCCTCCCCCCCCCCCGCCTCCCCCGATGGTCTCCCCCCCATGATCTCCCCCCCTGCCTCCCCCGATGGTCTCCCCCCCTCATGGTCTCCCCCCCTCCCCCGATGGTCTCTCCCCCTCACGGTCTCCCCCCCATGGTCCTCCCCCCCATGGTCTCCCCCCTCTCCCGATGGTCTCCCCCCCCCCCGCCTCCCCCGATGGTCTCCTCCTCCCCCCCTGCCTCCCCCGATGGTCTCCTCCTCCCCCCCCCCTGCCTCCCCCGATGGTCTCCTCCTCCCCCCCCCCCCCGCCTCCCCCGATGGTCTCCTCCTCCCCCCCCCTGCCTCCCCCGATGGTCTCCTCCTCCCCCCCCCCCCACCCCCCCGCCTCCCCGGATGGTCTCCGGCCCCCCCGCCTCCCCCGATGGTCTCCCCCCCCACGGCGCCCCCCCCCCCCCGCCTCCCCCGATGGGTCTCCCCCCCACGGCCCCCCCCCGCCTCCCCCGATGGTCTCCTCCCCACGGCCTTCCCCCCCCCTTTGCCACCCTGGATCGGCCGGCCCCTCTCCTTCCTGAGCGACACCTCCCCCCCGCCGCCCTCCCCCCCTGCCTCCCCCCCCCCCCCGCACTCACGAAGCGGAGGCCCTGGTAGCGCCGCAGCGGCAGCCCGTCCACCAGGTAGCTGGGCTTGTAGGGACAGTCGGGCAGCACGTGGCGCAGCCGGGACTTGGGGACCAGGGGCACTGGGGGCGGAAGGGGCGGGGCTGGAGGGCGGAAGGGGCGGGGGGGCGGGGCGCAGGGGTCACCCGGGGAACCTGGGCTGGGTGCAGGGGTCACCCGGGGGAACCTGGTTGGGGGGGCGGGGCGCAGGGGGTCACCCTGGGGAACCTGGGCGCGGGGGGGGGCGCAGGGGTCACCTGGGGAACCTGGGCTGAGGGGGGGCGCAGGGGTCACCCTGGGGAACCTGGGTTGGGGGGGCGGGGCGCAGGGGTCACCCGGGGAACCTGGGCCTGAGGGGGGGCGCAGGGGTCACCCTGGGGAACCTGGTTGGGGGGGGCGGGGCGCAGGGGGGCGGGGCGCAGGGGTCACCCTGGGGAACCTGGGCGCGGAGGGCAGGGCGCAGGGGTCACCCTGGGGAACCTGGGCGCAGGGGGGGGGCGTAGGGGTCACCTGGGGAACCTGGCGCAGGGGGGCGGGGCGCAGGGGTCACCCCGGGAACCTGGGTGCGGGGGGTGGGGTGGCGGGGGTCATCTTGGGCAGGGGTGGGCAGGGGCGACCCCCGCCCCCCACCGACCTCGGTGCAGCGCGTTCCCGCGGGTCGGGCCGCAGCATGTCGGCCGGGGGTGGCTCGTCCCCGCGCGGCGCGGGGCCCGCGTGGCTGGCGGCCGTCTGCGGGATGTGGCCCACCTCGTCATCTTCAGCACGCTCTCGTCTGCAGGGGGTGGGGGGGTGAGGCGCGGGGTCAGGAGGGCGGGCAGGCGGGGACAGGGGTCAGGAGGGCGGGCAGGCGGGGGCAGGGGTCAGGAGGGCGGGCAGGTGGGGGCAGGGGGCAGGTGGGGGCAGGGGGCAGGCGGCGGGGGCAGGGGTCAGGAGGGCGGGCAGGTGGGGGCAGGGGGCAGGTGGGGGCAGGGGGCAGGCGGGGACAGGGGTCAGGAGGGCGGGCAGGCGGGGGCAGGGGTCAGGAGGGCGGGCAGGTGGGGCAGGGGGCCGGTGGGGGCAGGGGGCAGGTGGGGGCAGGGGGCAGGCGGGGCCAGGCGGGGGCAGGGGTCAGGAGGGCAGGCAGGTGGAGGCAGGGGGCAGGCGGGGGCAGGGGGCAGGGGGCAGGGGGCAGGCGGGGGCAGGGGGCAGGCGGGGGCAGGCGGGGGCAGGGGGCAGGCGGGGGCAGGGGGCAGGCGGGGGCAGGCGGGGCAGGGGGCAGGCGGGGCAGGGGCAGGCGGGGGCAGGGGGCAGGCGGGGGCAGGGGCAGGCGGGGGCAGGGGGCAGGCGGGGGGCAGGGGGGCAGGCAGGGGGCAGGCAGGGGGCAGGGGGGCAGGAGGCATGCCGCACTCACTGGTGAAGAGGGACAGTGCTGCGGAGTCGATGATGGTGAACTGGGCCCCGGTGTCGTGACGTCTCCACTGCAGGTGGAGAGAGGGTGGAGAGAGGGTGGAGAGAGGGTGGGGCGGGGTTGCAGGGTTGTGGGGCTGTGGGGTTGCGGGGGTCGTGGGGCTGTGGGGTTGCGGGGTGGTGGGGTGGTGGGGTGGTGGGGTGGTGGGGCCTTGGGCTCGTGGGGTCGCGGGTCGCGGGGCCTTGGGGTCGTGGGGCTGTGGGGTTGCGAGGTGGTGGGGCTGCGGGGCTGTGGGGTTGCGGGGCGGTGGGGCTGTGGGGCCTTGGGGTCGCGGGGTTGCGGGGTCGCGGGATCGCGGGGCCTTGGGGTTGCGGGGTTGCAGGGTCGCGGGCCAGACCCGCACCGGGGCTGCGGGCGTGGACGCACCGCGATCTCCACGTGGTCGGTGCCCTCGTCGTTCTGCTTGTGCAGCAGCTCGAAGTAGTACCGGAGCGAGGCCGACAGGCTGGCGGAGAGGAGGGCAGCTGGGAACGGGCACCGAGGCGAGGGCCGCGACCGGACCGGGCAGCGCAGGGGTGGCCGCGGCCGGAGACCGGCAAACCAGCGCATCCCCCACCCGCCGCCCGCCGCCCGCCGCCCGCCGCCCGCCGCCCGCCGCCCGCCGGCGCTCTGAGACCAGCGCATCCCCCGCCCGCCGCCCGCCGCCCGCCGCCCGCCGCCCGCCGCCCGCCGCCCGCCGGCGCTCTGAGACCAGCGCATCCCCCGCCCGCCGCCCGGCGGCGCTCTGAGACCAGCGCATCCCCCGCCCGCCGCCCGGCGGCGCTCTGAGACCAGCACATGTCCCCCCTGCCGCCAGGTGGCGCTCTGAGACCAGCACATGTCCCCCCTGCCGCCAGGTGGCGCTCTGAGACCAGCACATGTCCCCCCTGCCGCCAGGTGGCGCTCTGAGACCAGCACATGTCCCCCTGCCGCCAGGTGGCGCTCTGAGACCAGCACATGTCCCCCCTGCCGCCAGGTGGCGCTCTGAGACCAGCACATGTCCCCCCTGCCGCCAGGTGGCGCTTTGAGATCAACACATCTCCCCCGCCCACAACCAGCTCTGAGACTGGTGTTTCCTCTACTGGCCACCAGAAGGCGTTGAGACCAGTGCATTTTGCTACCCGTCACCAGCTATGAGGTTGGTGCGTTTCCTCTATCTGCCACCAGGTAGCGCTGAGATACCGGCATCTCCTCTGCCACTAGCATTTCCTCTACTTACCACCAGATGGCGCTGACACCAGCGCATCTCCCCTGCCCGCCGCCAGATGGCGCTGACACCAGCGCATCTCCCCTGCCCGCCGCCAGATGGCGCTGACACCAGCGCATCTCCCCTACCTGCCGCCAGATGGCGCTGACACCAGCGCATCTCCCCTGCCCGCCGCCAGATGGCGCTGACACCAGCGCATCTCCCCTGCCCGCCGCCAGATGGCGCTGACACCAGCGCATCGCCCCTGCCCACTACCAGCTATAGGTTGGTGTTTCCTCTGCCGGCCACCAGATGGTGCTCTGAGATCACATCTTCCCTGCCCACCACCAGCTATGCGGTGGGAGCGTTTCCTCTCCCTGCCCCTAGGTGGCGCTCTGAGACCAGCGCATTTCACCACCAGCTAGGGGGTCGGTGCGTTTCCTCTGCCGGCCATCAGCCGGCGCCTGAAACCAGCGCGTCTTGCTACCCGCACCAGCTCTGAGGTCGGCGCGCTTCCTCCACCCGCCACCAGGCGGCGCGGGGGGCGCGGGCCCTCGCCAAGCCCGGCTTCCCCTCCAGGCTCCCGCCCCGCTCTCGCCCCGCTCCCACTCGCAAGCGGGGTCGGGCTCTTCCCCGCTCATTTCCAAGATCAACAAACAAAGGGGGGGAGTCTCGGGGGCTCGGTCCGCACCCCGCACCCCATGCCCCGCACCCCGCACCCCGCACCCCGCACTCACCTCACTGGCTTGGAAATCTGACTCTGAAACTTCCCGAACTCGCCAGGGGCCGTCCACTCCTTTCCAGTCTAGAGATGGGGAGGGGGGCGGGGAGACGGAGGGGGGAGGGGGGCGGGGAGACGGAGGGGGGGAGGGGGGAGGGGGGAGGGGAGACGGGGGAGGGGGGAGGGGAGACGGGGGAGGGGAGAGGGAGTGAGCGAGCGCAGTGGGGGGGCGGAGCCAGGCGCGGCGGGAGGGCAGCGGGAGGGCAGCGGGGTGAGGGCCATGTGCGGCCCCCAGGCCGCGGGTCTTCAGCAGGGAACACGGGACCGTTCGTGCAGCCTTTTGGGGGTGGGGGTCTCGCTGACTCAGTTTACCGTTTTGCAGCTCGGGGCCGGGGTGCTGGAGGGGTGGAGTGGGGGGATCCTGGGCTTCTGCTGGAGGCCATAGCCCCCCAGCCCCCCACCCCACCCCTGCTCAGCCATCGGGGCCAGCCTCGAACCCCGAACAGCGGGTACCCGCCCACGCCGCCCGCCTCCCCGCCCGCCCCCGCCGGCCCCGCCCACCTCGCCCCCGCCGGCCCCGCCCACCTCGCCCCCGCCGGCCCCGCCCACCTCGCCCCCGCCGGCCCCGTCCACCTCGCCCACGCCGCCCCCGCCCACCTCGCCCACGCCAGCCCCCCCCTCGCCCACGCCGGCCCGCCCACCTCGCCCACGCCGGCCCGCCCACCTCGCCCACGCCGGCCCCGCCCACCTCGCCCACGCCGGCCCCGTCCACCTCGCCCACGCCGCCCCCCGCCCACCTCGCCCACGCCAGCCCCCCCTCGCCCACGCCGGCCCCGCCCACCTCGCCCACGCCGGCCCCCCCACCTCGCCCACGCCGGCCCCCGCCCACCTCGCCCACGCCGGCCCCCGCCCACCTCGCCCCCGCCGGCCCCGCCCCCCTCGCCCACGCCGGCCCCGCCCACCTCGCCCCCCGCCGGCCCCCGCCCACCTCGCCCACGCCGGCCCCCCACCTCGCCCACGCCGGCCCCGCCCACCTCGCCCACGCCGGCCCCACCCACCTCGCCCACGCCGGCCCCGCCCACCTCGCCCACGCCGGCCCCGCCCACCTCGCCCACGCTGGCCAGCAGCTGGAGGCCCGACACCTGCTCGTTGCGGCTCAGCCAGAACTCGGCGTTGTCGTCCGCGGCAATGGCAAACTGGACGAGGCCTGGCGGAGGGGGCGGGGTGAGGGCCGCGGCGGGGGAGGTGGGGGGCCCTCCGCTCCCCCCCACCCCGTCTCGGCGGCGGGCGTCACCGTCGGTGAAGGGGTGCAGGTAGCCGAACACGCGGAGGCCGTAGTTGGTCCAGCCGGGGGCGACGGCCAGCTTGCTCAGGGTGGTGCGGACCTGCGCGGGGAGGGGGGGGCGTCACCGCAGCGGGGGGAGGGGGAGCGGGGGGAGGGGGCGGCACCGCGGGGGGAGGGGGAGCGGGGGGGAGGGGGAGGGGGAGGGGCGTCACCGCGGGGGGGAGGGGGAGTGGAGGGAGGGGCGGCACCGCGGGGGGGAGGGGGAGGAGGGAGGGGAGGGGGAGGGGCATCACCGCGGGGGGGAGGGGGAGGGGGAGGGGCGGCACCGCGGGGGACGGGGAGCGGGGGGAGGGGACGTCACCGCGGGGGGAGGGGGGAGGGGGAGGCGGAGGGGGCGGCACCGCGGGGGAGGGGCGCGGGGGGAGGGGGCGTCACCGCGGGGGGAGGGGCGCGGGGGGAGGGGGCGTCACCGCGGGGGGAGGGGAGGGGGGCCGGGCTCTGTGCGCCAGGGCCCCTCACCCGTGGGTCAGGTGACTGTGCGTGGGAGGGGGGAGGAGGGGAGGGGGGACAGGCGGGGGCGGGGGGCCGCGGCTCACGTGCGGGTACAGCGGGAAGTGCAGGTTCCTCCGCAGCTGCTGGACGGAGCCCCCGCACCAGTCCTCGAACACGTGCAGGTTGGCGCGGCCGCGGAACTGCGGGAGGGGGGGAGGGGCGTGGACGGGCGTGGGGGGGGTGGGGGAGGCGGGCGTGGATGGGCTGATGGGGGGCGGGCCGCCCGGCACAGGGGTCCCGCCCCGCCCCGCCCGCGCTCCCGTGGTGCGGCCTGGCGGAGGGGCTAGGTTGGGGCGTGGCCTTAGAGGACACAGGTCACTGGGGGCGTGGCCTGCGATACCATTAGTGAGGCCGTGGGGGTGTGGCCTCAGAGGACACCTTGGTTAGGCGTTAGGACGGTGGGGGCGTGGCTGTGGAAGACGCTGGAAGTTAGGTCACTGGGAACATGAACACGCTGCTCCCTGACTCCTCGCTCCTTATCCCCACGAGGCGGGCGGTCCTTTGCCGCCCCTGCGGGGGACCCCACGCCGGGCCCCGCGGGGACCGAAGGTGCGACGCCCGGGGCCGGGGCATGAGGCTGGGGTGTGCGGTGTGCGGGTGCACGCCCAGGACTCGCATCCCCCCCTGCGTGCGCACCCATGCACACGCGCCCATGCACACGTGCACATGCACACGCACCCGTACGCACGCACGCACACGCACGGAGGCTGGCATGCTCTCACCGGCGGAGGCAGCGCCATGACAGGGCGTGGGGGCGCCAGGGCCTGAGAGCCGCAGCCGAGCTGGGGTCCAGCTGAGGACCTGCTGCCCCTCCCCTGGCCCGCACTTCAGCAGGGAGAGCCCCGAGCTGGCCGTGGGGTCAGCCGGGCCTGGCTGGCGGGGACCGGAGCGGGAACAGGGGCCGTAGGTGGACATTGGGCTACTCCCGGGGACAGTCCTCGCGTCCAGCCACGAGACTCGGCTGTCCCTCCGAGTGGCTGTCTGTCTTCCCAGGGGGCTGCAGAGGCCTTTGGTGGGGAGGGCGGGGGGGGGGGGTCTGGCTGCCCTCTCCCTCGTCCAGCAGCGGCCCGGGCCCGGGGCAGGGCGGGTTTCTCAGAAGCCCAGCAGGCCGAAGCCCAGGCGGGTCTTTGCAAGGTCCACTCGTGGAGGGGTCATGGGGAAAATGCCTGTGGCTGCTGTCTCATAAAGGGGAGGGGACACTGAGGATCCGTGGATGAACTGGCTCCCCGGGCCTGGAGGTGGGGAGGGCAGGCAGGGGGAGGATGGGGAGGGTGAGCAGCGCTGCAGGGCCTTCCCACTGGAGAAAACCTCCGCTGGACCTGCTGCCCCTGCCAGGCAGATTCTCCCTCTCTGGAGTCATCTGCACCTGCAGCCTACCCGGGGGGTCCTGGGCCCATCCAGGGGGTCCTGAGCCCAGGTCCCAGCAGACAGAACAATCAGTACCCCACCCTGGCTGACCAGCCTTCCCTGGCTCTTATCCCATGGCTCCTAGTAGTACATAGGCCCCACCTACAAAATCTCCACCCACAAGGCCCTGCCCACAAGGCCACACCTACACCCAAATCCCCGCCCACAACATCCCTGCCCACACCCAGGGCCCCGACCACCAAGCCCCTGCCCCACCCAAGCACTTCTCAACCACTTTTAATATCTGAGCCAGTGGCTCTCACCGGCTGAGAGCTGATAATCACTGGGGCAGAATACTCAGGGACGGGGCTCAGGCCCTGGGTTCAAGCCCCACGACCTACAAAAACATTTTTAACAAATGAAACCAGAACTGAGCACGGGTGGCTCAGGCCTGTCATCCTAGCCACTCGAGATCTAAGGATCACGGTTCAAAGCCAGCCTAGGCAGAAAAGTCCGGAAGTGGAAGTGTGGCTCAAAGTGGCAGAGCACTAGCCTTGAGCAAAAGAGCTCAGGGACAGCGCCCAGGCGCTGCATTCAAACCCTACCACTGGGGGAAAAAAATCCGAAGAAAGACTACCACCAGAGTTCATACACAGGAACTAAAACAGCAACTATTTCTTGTAGATGTTAATCCTACTGGAATCAGAACATATTCTCTCTCTCACACCCACACACAGAGGAAAAATCAGCCAGTCATGGTTGCATATGCCTATAAGTTCTTAGGAGGCTGGGGTAGGAGGGTCACATGTTTAAGGCCAAGCTGGGATACCCTGTCTTGAAAGAAAAGAAAAATGATCCAAGCTGTCATTAAAACAGGTCTGATCGAATTATCTGTGAGTCAGCTTCTCTTCACAGCGGTGTCTGGGGTGGAGTGGGTGTGTGACGGGTCCCCTCTGGGCGTTAGAGGAGGCCATACTACCGGCCTGGAAGCTAATCACGCAGGGGTGTGTGTGGCGGTACCCGCACTACCGGCTTGGGAGCTAATCGCGCAGGGGTGTGTGTGGCGGTGCCTCCTTTGCTCTACAGAACTCCTCGAAGCTTCCCTGTGCCAGCGAGCGGCACCCAGCAGCAATGTATTATTACACAGTTAAGGGTTTTTTTTGTTTTTTGTTTTTAAAAAAAACTTACTTAACAATGAAGTCCTTTCTTCCTGCAAATTCTTATGGGATTTAATGGTCCCAGAAAGGTAGTTTGAGGAGCTCGTTATCTTTAAGACGAGGGATTGGCATGGCTGTGAAAGTCAGGCTGCTGTGCTGAGCATTGCATTTCCCACCCATAAAAAAATAATAAACTATGGTTACAGTTTGGACTTGAAATGTTCTGCAACCCAGACACGGTGGTACACACCTGTAATCCAAGCACTCAGGAGGCTGGTGTTGGAGGATTTGGACTTTGGGCCAGCTTGACGTATGTGATAAGACCCTATCTTAACAAAGAAAGAGAAGGGAGGGAGGAGAAAAGAAAAGAAAGAGAGGAAGGAGGAAAGATAGGAAGGAGGGAGAGAGGGAGAAGGGAAGGAGGGAGGGAAAGACGGAGTAAGGAGAGAGGAGGAAGAGAAGAAGAGGAGGAAAAGGAGGAGCAGGAGAAGCAGGAAGAAGAAAGAGTCCTTTCTTCCCTAAAGGCCAATAAGCTTGGTCCACAGCCATACTGACAAGGGGTGAAACCTTTAGGGGGTGGGCCTAGTGGAGGAAGTGAGTCAGTGGGGGCGTGGCTGCACAGGGTCACTGGGTCACCAGGCCTAGGGTCTTCTTTCTGCCATGAGAACAGCCTCCTCCATGTGTTCCTACCACGAGGTGCAGGGCTGCAACAGGCCCAAATGGTAGGGCCAGGCTTGGTTACGTATGTGTTGCAGCTATGAAAAGCTAACCTCGGTGACCACTTCATGATGGTGACAGGAAAGTGCACAGAGCCTGGCACACAGTAGGCCTTCAGCCTCCTGGAAACCTGTGTGTGTGTGTGTGTGTGTGTGTGTGTGTGTGTGCGTGTGCGTGCACACGTGTGTGCATGTGTAAAATTCTGTGTTTTTGTATCATAATAGCCACTAAAATTTTCCAGCCTCTCTAACATTATCTTAAAAAAAAATTCTTTCTGAGGTGCTGGGATTTGAACTTGAGTCTTGCACATAGCTGGACAGGTGTTCTAACCCTTGAGCCACATCCCCAGGCCCACAACAAGGCCTTTTTGAGCCCTCTTCAGCCCGGGACGCGTGGCGACTTCCTTACCTCTGACAGCCAGGGCACGGGTTTGTTCCATTTCAAGTAGCTACTGCCGCTGCTGCCCGCCCCGTCGGGTTCTTGGTCCTAGGGTGAGGACAAAGACAGCTGGGTGGGAACCTGGGGGTGAGGAATTAGGGGTGGGGCATGATTTGGGAGGAGGGGCCTTGAAAACGCCAGCAGAGAAGCAGAGGGGACCAGCTTGGTGTCCAGGGGGCTCATCCAGGCGGGGACCCCGCCACCTGCTCAGCTCTGCTCCCTTCTCGGAATCGGCTCAAGCGTCTGTCCCACTTGGAAAAAACGCTTTTTGTTGTAGTTAAGTCGGGTCCTTCGGAGGAAAGGGGCTGAGCGCCCCTTCTGCCTCAGTATCCCCCTGGGTTCCACCCAGATGGGCGATGGCTGACTTGGTTCAACAAGGGACACCCCAAACGCTCCCTGCCCGCAGCTCCGCAGGCCCCCAGCCTCGGGCAGCCAGCCATGCCCATCACAGGCTTGGCTTGGGGCGGTGGGCAGATCCTGCCCCGTACCTTGACCACAGTCAGCTTCTGTGGACCGTACACCTGGAGATTGGAACCCACCGCCGGCATGTTCCTGTTGGCCAGTGCTTTGGCCAGCTCTCGCCAGCTGCTGTATCCTGTGGAAGGGATGGGAGAAGAGAATTCAGCGCCTTCCCCAAACTAGGTGGCCTGGGACACGGCCTTCCCTCCCATGGGGCAGAGCGCCCGCTGCTCCTCTCCTCAAACAAGCTATGGCACGGGGGGCGGGAGGGGGTTGGGGGGGGGCTTGTACATGTCTGGGAAGGGGAACAAAGGAAGCGGGGAGGAGGGGAGAGCCAGAGCCCAGGGGTCAGCCTGCTGTGCACGGGGTGGTACAAGCGGCCTTGGACTATGTGGACCAATGCCCCGGGCCACACACCAGGACCACAGGCCTGCAAGGCTCCGCCAGCCTGGGGAGCACTAGCTCCCCACCTCCCACCCCAGCTCCCTTAAGGGGAGACTGGAGGAGACAGGGGGAGACCCACGGTCTCACTGCCCCCCACTACTTTCTCCCCTACAGCTCAAGATGGCGGGCCGGGGTGGGGCTCACGCCTCCCGCGTGCGTGAAGGTTGACACTGCACAAAAGGAGTCAGACGGCAGAGAGTACGGCCAGGGGACAGACGTTGGTTGGCTGTCAACAGAAGTGTCACAAGATCCCCCCGTGAGCACCCCGGGGGACACGGGCGGCCACCCAGACCCACGACAGAGCGCAGCCGGGATCCGAGGCACACGTAGTAATGCCAGCCATTCGGGAGGCAGAGGCACAAGGATCACAAGTCAAGGCCAGCCTGGTGACACGTCAAGATCCAGCCTCAAACACAAAGAACGTCAGAGGTGGCCGTCAGTTCCACGTGAGTGTGAGTGTACAGGGGTGGGGGGGGAGAGGGAGAGAGAGAGAGGAGTGGAGGAGAGAGGAGGGGGAGAGAGGGAGAGAGAGGAGGGGAAGAGAGAGGAGGGGGAGAGAAGAGAGGAGGGGGAGGGGGGAGAGAGAGGAGGGGAAGAGAGAGAGGAAGAGAGGGGGAGAGAGAGAGGAGGAGGAGAGAGAGGGAGAGAGAGGAGGAGGGAGCGAGGAGAAGAGGGAGAGAGAGAGAGGGAGAGGGAGGAGGGGAAGAGAGAGAGAGGAGGGGGGAGAGAGAGGGGGAGAGGGAGAGGGAGAGGGAGAGAGAGAGAGCGCCATGTTCTGGAATGCAGGAGTGGGGCAGGGGTTGGGGAAGAGGTGTTTTCTTTTTTGTCAGTCATGGGGTTTGAACTCAGGGCCTGGGCGCTGTCCCTCAGCTCTTCAGCTCAAGGCTGGCGCTCTACCATGTGAGCCACCTCGCCACTTCCAGTTTTCTGGTGGTTCATTGGAATCTCACAGCCTTTGCTGCCCGGGCGGGCTTTGAACCATGATCCTCAGATCTCAGCCTCCTGAGTAGCTGGGATGACAGGCGGGAGCCGCAGGTGCTTTTTAACTCGGCCGCTGGTGATGGGAACTGCCCTCGGATGTGCGGGCTGCATCTCCCAGGCACCGTCATTGCAGCTGCTTGCCAGGCTTGCAAGGCTCAGCCTAGTGGCTCCTTCCTGCCATCCTGGCTACTCAGGAGGTGATCAGGACAGGTGGGTGGGTCCAGCCAGGGTGAAAAGTTTGAGAGTTCCCCATCTCAACCACGGGCAGTGTTGTGCGCAGCCCTGTGTGTGACGTGGAGATAGAGGGATCCTGGTTCTAGGCTAGCTGGGGCAAAAAAAAAAAAAAAAGTTTGTGAGATCTCATCTCAGCCTATAGTTTCCAGCTACAGTATTTATTCACGCATGCATCAATCAATCAATACGTAAATAACACCCCCTCCCTGAGACACATAACTAAAGCAGAAGGGGTTAGAAGCAAGGCCCAAGTGGCAGAGTGCCTGCCTAGCAAGCCAAGACCCTGAGTAGAATTCTCACCCCAGTAACTACCAAAAGAAAAAATACAGGAAAAGCACCTCATGGGATTGATCCAGTCTGATGCCTCTATTTTACAGATGGGGAACAAAGTCCCAGAACACGACTTGCTGTGCAACGTCAGAGCTAGATCCTTCCCACTCCCCCCAGATTAGACCACACGGCGTGGCTCGCAGCCAGCTTCCTGGGACCCCATTCTCCGCTGCCCCTGTAGGGTGAAGAATACATCACTCAAGGGAAAGCCGTTCATTCCCAGCCTCTGTCGGGGGTCAGGGAGGGGCACCTGTCCTCTGGGGTTCAGGCATGAAGGAAGAAGGGCCAGCAGTCCCCCCTCACCCCCCTTGATTTGCACCTTGGCTTTGCTCTTAGGATCAAACACCGTTATGTTGGGAAGCAAAGAGAAACGCTACCTGCCCACCACAGGGCTGGCAAGTGTCACAAGGCACGCTTTCTGAGAGGTGACCCGCGCATGGTCAATGAGCCATGGCCACAGGAAGGGTCAGGCTCTCTCTGGGGCCTCACTTGTCCCCTAACTCCAGGCCGGGGCCCTGCCCTGGGCGGGCCTAGCTCAGTTTTTGTTTTAACAAGAATGCTGCTAAGTCGGTTCAGCCAGCGTTCCCTGACATGTCTCCTCATGGTCGCTGTCTCTCCGCTGTCCGTCCGTCTGTCCCTCTGCTGGCTGGTTGTGAATCCTTAGCTGTCCTGGCTGTGTTCAGAACTAAGCTTCAGCTCTGTAAAGCCACCTGGTGTGACTGCCTTTAACCTGTGTGCAAGGCTGAGTGCTGTGACCAGGACAGAAGAGGAGGAGGAGGAGGAGGAGGAGGAGGAGGAGGAGGAGGAGGAGGGGGAGGGGGAGGAGGAGGAGGGGGAGGGGGAGGAGGAAGGGGAGGGGGAGGAGGAAGGGGAGGGGGAGGAGGAAGGGGAGGGGGAGGGGGAGGGTCAGCCATGAGGCCAGCCTGGAAGTTTCCAGGGCCTCTGGGAACAGGTCCCATCTGCAGCTTGGCCTTCAGCAGCCCAATGGGCAAGTACACCCTTCTTGCAGACTTCAAGGGGGAGGAGAAAGATGCACAAGGGCTGGGCCTCAGCCATTCTGGAGACTGAGATTTGAGGATCCCAGTTCAAAGACAGCCTGGGCTGACAAGAAGCCATGAGACTCTTATCTCCAGTGAAGCACGGGAAAGCTAGAAGTAGAGGTGTGGCTCAAGTGGTAGAGCGCCAGCTTTGAGTGGGAAAAGCTCAGGGATGGCACAAGGCCCCGAGTTTAGGTCCCAGTACCGGCACACACATACATATGTGTGTACATGCGCACACACACGTGCAAAGAGCCAGCAGCTCTCCCTTACTGAGCAGAGAACCAGGGGGTGCATACCAATAGTGAACATCTCCTCTTTGATTGACACATGCTTGGAAGTCCCTGCAAAGTACTGACTAATGCTGTGTGTCTGGGTCTCCCCACCCAGTCTTGGCCTCTGTGTGAATCCTGTCAGCGGATCCTCAGACAGTCATCATCCGAGAGCTAAAGAACGAGCAGGCTTAACCACTGACCCTGGTGGCTTGCCCTGGGGGAATCGGCCAGCCCCTCCCTCCTATGGCCACCATGGCACCAGAAGCCAGGCCCCACCCCTCTGCGACAGGTGTCACATTTGTGCCAGGAGACTGACACCCCGATCTCAGGTGACACATTTGGCCCCTGGCAAAAAGTTGGGCTATCAAATTCACCATCAGTTGGAGCGCTGCCAGCTTCCCTGCAGGCTGGGAGCCGGGCAGAGCATTCAAAGGCTGGGGCGGGAGTGAGGGGGGTGGGGAAGGGGGGGAGAGGGGAGATTATCATCCGGGCTTTGCAGGAAAATGTGGTATCTCTGTACCCCTGGGTACCCAACCGCCTTCTGTCCAGTGCCGTCTCTCAATTGAGAGGGGAGAAAAGCAGAACAGAAAGGGGCGGCATCAGCCTCAAAGGCACAGTGAGATGAACGCAGCTCACTGACTCCGGCTCATAATGCGTGAGCACTTAAGACACAGCCTGAGGACTCTGTTTCAGCAAGAAGCTGGACGTGGAGCTGTGGCTCAAGTGATAGAGCACCAGCCTCAAGCCAAAAAAAGCCAACAGTGTCCAGAGACTGAATTCATGCCCCAGGACACTCTCTCTGTCTCTGTCTCTCTCTCCAAGGAAGAGACCTGAGATTCCCACTGGAGGGCAGCAGCTGCTGAGAAGCAAAGGGGTGGGCCAGCCTTCTCCAAGCTGCAGGTGGAGGGTCACCGGTCCACCAAGGCTCTGATGGCAGAGGGGGGCTGGGGTGCAGAAGGTCTGAGGCCCCGACTCCACTAGACACAACCAAGCAGAAGATAAGAGGTGACCACCATGTGCAGGTGGTGAACCATGGAATTAGGCTAGGGGTTAGGATAAAGAACATGGGATACATGTGTGTGTACACATGTGCGTAGACAATATATGCACACAGGAGGGCTAGAATACACATATGTGCATATGTGTATATACACATATAGGTATATACAAATAGTGTTCTTTTTCTTTTGTGCCAGTCCTGAGGCTTGAACTCAGGGCCTGGGCGCTGTCCCTCAGCTTTTGTGCTCCAGCTAGCTCTCTACCACTTGAGCCACAGTGCCGCTTGAGGAATTGAACCCAGGGCTTCATGCATGCTAGCCAAGCACCCTACCACTAAGCCAAGTTCCTCGCCCTGTACACATACTTATAAGGAAGCATTACTCGGTCATGGAGAAATGTCGTCTGCAAGAAAATGGATAGAACCCCAAACCGTCGTATTTGGTGAAATGAGCCTGGGAAAAGTATATGTTCTCTCACATGAGGAATGTGGACCTTAAAAAGATAAATAAAAAGAAGGAGGGTGAGAAAAAGTAAGAGAGGGCTATTCTAAAGCAAATGAAATACCTGTTCGCCTGAAGGCCGTGCTGGAACACCTTGGTGCGATTAATACACTACAAAAGAATGGCAGGGAAGCGAGGGAAAGGGGGAGGGGGAGCAGTGGAGGGGGAGTGAAGATGGATGGGGTCAATGTAGTTTGTCCAGGTGTTTGGAAACAAAGCAATGAGACCTACTGGAACTGCCTGGAGGAGGAGGGAGGGAAAGGGGGAAGGGAAGACGGGAGAAGGAAAGAGGGGAGAAGGGAGAGGGGAGGGGGGAGGAATGGAGGGGTGATCAGG